TACTGTTTAAAATAATTTACGTTTTCTTGTGAAAAGTGACCTTTCGCGTGAGTCAGCATGACCAAGTATTATTTTCACCAAACATTTATACTGTTATACAGTTCTGCAGCACTATATGCATATATATACATATAAATGCACATCCCTAAACAGATAGTATCCTACAAAAACCTTCGTTTTTGCCAAGAACTCCTGGAGATAATTGCTGTTGCAAGTTTTACTTCGTGCACAGATTGGCCGGAGGTTCATGGAAAACATGCAGCACAGAAGAGTCAGAGCCAAGAATCAAGCACCTGCTTCCTCCTCGATTACTGCTCACTGCAGTCAACCTGAACAATATTTCAGTGTTTGCAGTTCTTTTGTGTTTTGCAGAAAGGTAATCTGATAATTTCTCAACCACTATAAACCGCATTCATTTGAATGTGATGGCTTTGTTAGATTTCATGTTCAAGTTCAATTCAAACAATTTTTTTAAATATAGTGTGAAATCACAACAGCAGTCACCTTGTGGTTTGCTTATATTATTTGAGATCATTTGTTCTTTTATATCAGGGGTGTCAGATTTTATTTTTCTTACAGTGAGTCCACGGGGGGAAAAGGACATTTTCTGTGAATTAATGAAAACTTTATAGTTTAAAATTACATGACAGTAGGGGTAATGGACTACCAGAACCTAATTTTAAAATGGTAAATGGCCTGTATTTGTATAGCGCTTTACTTAGTCCCTATGAACCCCAAAGTGCTTTACACTACATTCACACACTGGTGATGGCAAGCTACATTGTAGCCACAGCCACCAACTTAAGATCAAAGTCAGCTTCGCTCAGGACATCCCTGTCAACATTTTAAAAAATCCATTGTGACCTGTATTTGTTTATCTATCTATCTATCTATCTATCTATCTATCTATCTATCTATCTATCTATCTATCTATCTATCTATCTATCTATCTATCTATCTATCTATCTATCTCTATATATACACACACATTTAAAAAGCATTTTATAAAAGAAATGTTTCTTTTTAGTAACATTAAACGTGTTTAACAGTATATTTAGATTTAATACTTTTGATGCTGCAGGTTTAAAGCCTTGATCGTGTCACATAGTGTTGTTTTATTCTAGGGCGTAACATCCAAATGTGAGGACATGCGGTGCTTCGAGTTCAGCTCTGAAGCTTAACATGAGGATTAGATGGACAGTTTTCACTGTTCAAAATATAAACACCACATTGTCCCGCCCCACCTGTCACTTCCTTCAGCTTCAAAATTATGTAATGTACAATGAGTCACACACACACACACACACACACACACACACACACACACACACACACACACACACACACACACGTATCTCTCTCTGTTTTTCTTCTCTATAAAAAACGTATAATCTTTAAATTACCTTACAATAATGATCAGTATTTACAGTTTTTCTCAGTCGCTTTGGTGCGTTCCTCAGAACACCATTAACATTTGCACAGCAGTTAGTGCATTTCCCAAAACAATTAGTGCAAACTGCAAAACCTAG